TGATAATGAAACCATAATTGAAAACTCTGATAGAATAAAACTAATAAGAGACAAAATGAAAGAGAACCTGGATAATGCATATAAGAAAAGTGCTTTAAGATATAACCGTGGGGCGAGAATAGTTAAATTTGTTCCTGGACAGGAAGTTTACAAAAGAAATTTTCTACTTAGCAACTTTAAGAACAACATTAATGCTAAATTTTGTAAAAAATTTACTAAATGTAGGATAGTGAAGGTGATAGGAAACAATATGTATGAATTGGAAACCTTAACAGGTACTCCATTAGGTATTTTCCACGCAAAGGATATTAAACAATGAATATAATAAAGTGCAATATAGTTTATAAGGATCAAATGTGCAATATATTAGTGACAAATAATCAAATTTTTACTTACGAGTGCAATATTAGGTTAAGATTTGTGTTTTGTCATTGATGTGTTGATTATTTCCTCCTTGATTATACAAATATTGTTCTTCGTCCAGTGTTTAAGGTCCTTTGTAACTAAAATGGTACCTGTGAAAATTGGAAGGTCCACTCATATTCATACAAGACACAGTAAATTGAAATACATTCCTAGGTTGAACATTCGTGAAGGATTGCCCGGCTAACTCTTTAGATGTAGAATGGTGGGTGTAGCCTACGTTGGGCGCTGAAGGATTTAAACAATCTTACCTCCCACTGTCGTTCCTGCGAAGCATCTGGGTACGCCAGAGTTTTGTTGAGGTAGATTGGGAATCTGGGCGGTCTTCTTGGTCCCTGGTGTGCTGGTTGCATGTTGTTGTTTTTTTTTGTAGATTCTTGTGTGTGGAAGGTTTTTGTGGTGTCGTTTTGAGTTTTGTTGAGTTGAATGTTCCTGTGCGTGGTTTTTCTTTTGTTGTTGAATTGTGTAAATGGAATTTTGGTCTTTGCATGTTGAATTGTGTTGTTTCGCTTTTGTTTGTTTTCTTAGTTGTTCAATGTTTATTCTTTGTTGTTGACATGTCAAAAAGAAAATAAAATAAACATCAATAAGGTGACTCAAATATTAAGATGATTTAAAAAAATAGGGTTGCCGGATAGGAAATATGATGGAAGGAAGAGAGTTAGATAAAAGGTCTTCTCTTAATAAAAAAAGGCAACTTCAAGGCCAAAGGCAATAGTACAATGACCCAAATATGACAAATGTACAAAGTGCTCTGGGAAAAGAAAAGAAAACGTTGTTTTTTTTTATATATAATATTTGTTTGTACAAATTGTCCGTTACTTTCTTGTGTGGTTTTTTAGGAAAATTAAAGTTAATTTCAATCAGATATAGAAAGTAACTCACAAGTGAAACAAGTGTGTACCAATTACATTTAAATATAACAATAAGGTGAACATATTGAATATAAACTGTTCAAGAATATATTTACAACAGGTACAAGTGCCTTCCAAATATACCAAAAATAGTGAATATTCAAAGAAACCAAAACGTGTCATAGGACAAGCAGACGGGGAATTGTATGAGAATAACTCATGAACCTTGCGGAAAAGTCCATACGACACCTATTCTGGGAGTAGAATATTCAAATTCAAATTTGGAGGTAATACTGTTCTTTATATATATATATATTTAAAATTATATTGGTAGCCCAGTAGTGGTATAATAACACACATCATCTACAAGTCATATTACTTGAGTTGAAAAGTAATTCTATAAGAAACCCTGGATCAGAACCATTAATCAGAATCAGAACCTGCGAATACGTTCCACAAAATAAAATTGACTTTATAGCAAAAAGGCATTAGGGTAATACGAGTTAGGTTAGGTTAAGTTATATATAATTAATTTGTTTAGAATAAGTTTAGGCTTTTAATTTTTAAGAAATATAATTGTTAAGTTTGATATTTTCTTTGTTTGTGAAGGGATCGAACTAAATACAATAATAGTAATTTTCAAAAAAAAAAGGAAGGCGAGGAATAGTGTATTAGAGCCTCAAAAGATTCATCCTTCAGGGAGCTCCTTTAGGGATTTAAAAAAAAAAAAAAAATATAGAAATTTAACGTTTTAAAATAGTGAGTAAAGTTTTGAAACTCAATAGAAAAGTTGTTTTAGTTGATCCTTATTTAGTTTGATTGTGTTATTTGTATAGGTTAATTTTTTTTTTTGTTTAGTCATTAATTTTATATAGATTAAGTTTAGTATTAAAAAAAGAAATTAGTTTTTAATATCATCCTTATATAGGAAACAAAAAAAAAAAAATTTACTTAAATCTTGAAAACCCATTCTATTATTCAAGTTTATAGAAAAACTGAATAAATAGCGTGTGTCGATTTTCATTGTTTGGTTAAAACAATTGAAAACAATTGGAAAAAGCAAAATTTTATAAGCTATTTCAAATAAAAAAAAAAGGAAAATTAGAAAAAGAAAAATTATTATTGGTTAAAGTAACCGTTCGTTTGAACTTAAATGTTCTTTATGTTAGCTGGAAAACCCGGAAACAAAAGATGAAATAATTATTAGGCAATTAACTAAGAATATAAATAATTTTAAAAAATAACGTATTTTGACAATTTGAATTTTAAAAGACCTTTTGCTATATATATAGAAATCATACCTGTTAGTTTAAGTTATATTGATGTTTATTTTAAGTATTAAATGTAATAAATGTGATTTGAAAAGAAATTTTGTTATAAAAATGTGTTGCTAAATTTTGTGCAGTTACAGGTACAGTGGGCCGAAGATGTGTAAGTTGGTGATATGGTGAGTTGTTAAATATGTGTATAAGAACAAGAATATGAAAGGGGTCATTAATAGGATAAGTGACCAAGGTAGGGTGGGCGACGAAGATGGGATTAACATCTTTACCCATAATTTATAAATGTTTGTGTTATATGGAAATGAAATTGAGTGAAGTTAGGTAGTTAGATATTTATTTTTTTTGTTGTGACGAACCACAGTTGGTGTAGATGCGGGTTGAGATCCCACGCCGAAGACTGAGCTAGTAGAGGCGGCATCGTAGATCACCAAAAGAACACAGAAGGTTTCGTAACAGAATGTACAGCCCGGATTAAGTGATAACATTTAAAAGGGGACTTTTTGGTACTTTTTCGTTCTTCGACTGGTACTTTTTGAATTTTTTATAATATTGAACCTAGAAACATGAAATTAGGAATGTACAGCCCGGATTAAGTGATAACATATAAAAGTGGACTTTTTGGAACTTTTTCGTTTTTCAACTGGTTCTATTTGAATTTTCTATTATAATGAACCTAAAAACATAAAACTAAGCAATCAGGGACTTGAGTGAATGAAAATTTAAACTGGAGTATTTCTGGTAATTTTTCGTTCTTTAACTGGTACTTTTTGAATTTTCTAAAATATTGAATATATAAACATAAAATTAAACACGCAGTATCCTAATTGAACGAAAATTTATCTCGCTTACGTCCATTTTGCAAAAAGAGCTCGATATCAATCGAAATCTCTATAGGCCATAATTGACCCTGTCCCCTTCATTAATTGATTTTAACGTTTTTTACGTACTTAATAATACCATAATAAAACAATTTTTGTTGGAACGAAAATATGTAATGCAAATATGCATATGAAATCTTCTTGAGAAAATGACTTAAACGCACATAAATGGATTTCAAATGTCGATGTCGACGAAAAAAACATTTTTAGGAACTGAAACCTACATTTATGAAAAATAAAGTTATGAGGATCGGTCCGCCAATATAACCCTCTTACAGAAAATCAGTTTATAGCTAATACATCATTCCAAAAGTTATCATTATGATAGAATTATGGTAGAATTAAAAAAAAATACTTTAAATTATATATATTATTGATCCAATTCCACATTTAAGTCCCTAATCCGAAAATCACGGTGACGTTCTTATTAATCTAATGATCGGACCACTTCCGAAATTTGCTTTTTTACGACATATGATTTGCCAAATATAACTCTTACTTCTTACTTAATTTAATCATAAATTACCGCTAAAATAGGAATAGTCTGCCTTTAGAGTTGCGAGTTTTCATACATTCTAATAATGTTTTCAAAGTGAAACTTTTGGAATATTTTTCAATCTCTTTGTGATCCCTTTAAATGATGTTGTTCTGAAAGAACTTTAACATCCATGTAAACATTTTGGGTAATAAATTGGGGGACTACCAATGAGGGGAGCAGAACCTCCCATATGAATTAAATACAAAAATTCGTTTATCTGGGAAACTAATATAACTAAATTCTTCAAATTTTGCACGAACAACTTTAATATTCATCTGAACATTTTGGAGAAAAAAGGGCGGACTTTCATCTGGGGGGCTTGGAGCTCCCATATGAATTAAATAGAAAAATTCGTATATCTGAGAAACTATTAGAGCTAGAATTTCAATTTTTACTGAAGAACATTTAGAGAATAACGGGCGGACTTTCAATGGGAGGCTTGGCACTTCCCATATGAATTAAATACAAAATTTTGTATATCTGGGAAACTATTAGATTATTCGAAATTGCAATAATTTGCGTGGAATCTCCCATATGTAACAAATTGTATATCTGGAAAACCATTGTAGTTAGAATCATCAAAGTCGTTAAGTGGGTTATATTGCTTTTAGGGTAGCACAGCACACTGGGTATAGCTAGTAAATAAACAAATAAAATATCTTTGTTTTTACGTTATTGATCATTTTCTTAATGCAAAATTTTTTAGAAACTGATTTTCTGCAAGATGTTTTATATGGAAGATAGGCTTAAATATCGGCAGATCCTAGTAAAACTTGGAGAAAGGATTTGTTTTTAATTTTTAATAATTTTTTATTCATCCCTGCATAATTTCTAACACAACTTTTGACCTTGCTCTGTTTTGTTGTTATAAACAATATATTTGCTTCCAAAATCCCACTTTCTGATCTCTCGGATTCCGTTTTTATTTAAAATCGTTGAAAAATTAAAAACTAAACGTAATTGAAAACTTAGCCGGCTTACAGTCGATTTTAAGCCGCCGCCGACATATTTAGTGTCAGTCGCCGCCGCCGTTAATATTTGTCGGCGCAGGGCTCTGGCAAACAATTGCAAAAATTTTTCGTTTTTCATAAATTTAATACAAGAATTAAATAATTTTTCATGTTAAAATCTATGAGATGCAACACTAACGAAACAAAGTGATTGAATAAGAATTAAAGTTTTGTTAAGAATTAGAATAACAAAAGAAAGACAAAAAGGCAAAGAAAAAAAGAGACAAGACACCCTGAACTAAAATTTGTATCGTACGTTTTCGGCCACAACAGTTGGACAACCAAAAAAATAATAGTAAATTTGCACATATTGTCGGCATTAAACGAAGAAGGAACATATTATTGTTGGAGTTACCAGGAAAAGTGAGTATATTTATTTACTTGCCAAATATTTCCGGCTTTTGTGAAAAATATTGGTCAATGTTTTTTGACATTAAAATAGTATAAGAGTATAGTATAAGACTGGCAGACAGATATTTTCTGGCCATTTGATCTTGTTGGGTCTTCTTCTGTTATTCTATATTAGTGTTTGATATGTTTGTGTGTTTTAATTCAAAATATTAATGTGGATTCTTTATTATTTTTCTTATTTTTCACACTCAACTGATAGCATAGAAAAAACAACAACGAAACGACCCCTACCACAATCAAGCGTTGACAGCGCTGCTTAGCGTGTCGTACGAGCGGCGAACTATGAGCGCCTCGAAAAAATACAAAACATCTGAAACAGCAACAGAGATACTACATCATCAGCAGGACACTGAAAATATTAATAATCGTTTTAGGAAGTCGGCCGATTTCTTTGGTCCCTCAACATCGGCAGCAGCAGCAGCTCAATCGAATCAATCAGCGTCCGGCGTTAGTGGACGTATAGCTTTGGGTCAACAGAACACAAACGCTATGCAACGTTCAGGCAGTAATAGCAATTTGAATAACAGCGGGACCGGTGGAGGTGGCACCGGTACAAATGGTGAACGTCGTGCAAATTTCTCCATGTTGGATACAACCGCTCATCTAAACGATCATCGTTCATCGACAACAACCTCAGCGTTTTTTAATAAAATGGGAACCAACAATGCCTCTAAACCGGGTGATGTTAAGAAAATTGTTATTAAAAACTTTAAGGGTAAGTGGATGCTGGAGAATTTGTTGTTTTTTCTTAAATTTAGAGCATAGCGGAAAAACACGGCGTGGAATGTGAAACAATTCTGATTTATTTTGTTGTTTTTCTTTACCAATAATACCTATTTTCTACTGAAACAAGCCAATTAGATTTTAACAGCAGATTTTTCTTTTCCACCTGATTTGTCATATTTTTTTCTAATAAGATTTGAACATTGTGGTTATACCTGTATGGTGTGGAGGGCACAAATATGCAACCATGTTCAGCTTAGAATTTTTTATTTTGTCCATATAAACCCTGTTATCCAACTACGCAATGTAATTTGAAAATATGAATGGGTCAACTCCAAAAGGAAAATTAACAAATATGTAATGCACAGTTTTGGCAATATTGACTGTAATTTTGTGGATAGTCTAATTTATAGCCTAGCCTAAAGACTAGTCTATAGTCTAGTCTAAAGACTCGCCTATAGTCTAGTCTAAACACCAGTATATAGTTTAGTCTAAAGACTAGTCTATAGTCTAGTCAAAACACCGGTATGTAGGCTAGTCTATAGTCTAATCTATAGTCTAGTCTACAGTATAGTATAGACTCTATAGTCTAGTCTATATAGGAGTCTATAGTCTAGTCTAGACTATAGTTTAGAATATAGTTTAGTCTAGTCTATAGTCTAATCTATAGGCCAGTCTAGAGTCTAGTCTATAGTATAGTCTATAGTCTAGTCTATAGTCTAGTCTATAGTCTAGTCTATAGTCTAGTCTATAGTCTAGTCTATAGTTTAGTCTATAGTCTAGTCTAGCCAATAGATTAGCATATAGTCTAGTTTAGTTTAGTCTATAGTCTAGTCTATAGTCTTGTCTAGACTCTAGTCCAGTCTATAGTTTAGTAGTTTGGATTATATTCATGTCTATAGTTTAGTAGTCTGGCTTATAGTCAAGTCTATAGTATGTACTATACTCTATAGTTTGGACTATAGTCTGGTGTATAGTCTATACTTTCGTCTAGACTGTAGATCAGTCTATTGTCTGCATCTGCCAATAGTGTGAGAACGCATTTATTTTAAAAATACCATTTATAATTATCATTACAGTAAAACCTACACTGCCTGAAAATTATTCAGAAAGTACTTGTCAAAAACTGGAAGAAGCCGTTGTTGCTATACAATTATCCCGGCCTATTAAATATTCTCTGGAAGAATTATATCAGGCTGTGGAAAATATGTGTAGTCATAAAATGGATGCTCAACTCTATGCAAAACTTAAAGATTTAACCGAGGCTCATGTTAAACGTAATGTTGATACATTTACTGGTGGCAGCATGGATAAATTGGTATGACACGCAATCCTTCACAAAACCGAAAAGTAAAATATATTTTTAATTATTGCTTTATTCCCATATAAAGGTATTCTTAAAGAAAATCAATGATTGGTGGTTATCCTATTGCCAGCAAATGATAATGATGCGTAGTATATTTTTATATTTAGATCGAACTTATGTTTTACAAAATCCAACCGTACAATCTATATGGTAATTGAAGTACGATATTTTATAAAATTTTTTAAATCATTAATTTATTCTATATCTTAGGGATATGGGTTTAGATTTATTTCGCACTCATATAGCTCTCAATTCTTTGGTACAAAAACGTACCGTCGAGGGTTTATTAATGCTGATTGAGAAGGAACGTAATGGTGATGCCGTCGATCGTGGTCTACTTAAAAGTCTTATACGCATGTTGTGTGATTTACAAATTTATATAGCAGCGTTTGAGGAAAAATTCTTAATAGCCACACGACAATTGTATCAGGCCGAAGGTCAACGCAAAATGCAGGAGTTAGATGTACCCGAATATTTGCAACATGTTGATAAACGTTTAGCCGAAGAAAATGAACGTCTATTACATTATTTAGATTCGAGTACCAAGTAAGTGTTGTCTGGTATATTTCTTGAATGAAAATATTTATTTTTTTGTTATCGTTTGTTTCCAGGCATCCTTTAATTTATACCGTGGAAAAAGAACTACTTGCCGAACATTTAACACAAATTCTACAAAAAGGCCTAGACACCCTTTTAGAAGAGAATAGACTGAATGATTTATCAATATTGTATAGTTTATTAAGTCGTGTTAAAAACGGCACCGCTGAATTGTGCGGCAATTTTAATGGTTATATTAAAAAGAAGGGACGCACTATTGTCATTGATCCCGAAAAGGATAAGAGCATGGTGCAGGACTTATTAGACTTTAAAGATAAAATGGATGTTATTGTGCGCACATGTTTCGAACATAATGAGAAATTTACAAATTCATTACGTGAAGCTTTTGAATTCTTTATAAATCAAAGAACTAATAAACCAGCTGAATTAATAGGTGAGTTTGAAAGAAGAATGGATTTTTTTTTTGAGTATAAACCCGTTCAGAGTAAATAGGCAATAGACTAGACAACAGACGAGTTTATAGTCCCAACAATAGACTGGAACATAGTTTTGACTATAGCCTAGATTATAGTCTAGAGTATATATTAGACTATAGACTAGATTATAGACTGAAATATAGATTTGACTATAGACCAGACTACTAACAAGACTTTAGACTAGAATATAGACCAGACAATAGACTAGACTTTAGACTAGGCTATAGTCTACACTATAGAATAGACTGTAGTCTATTCTATTGGGTAGACTTAGTCCATTCTATACATCAGACTATAGACTAGACTATTGGGTAGACTGTAGTACAGATTATAGGCCATACTATAGTCCAGATTATAGGCCATACTATAGTCCAGATTATAGGCTATACTATATTTCATACTGTATGCTGTAGTCCAGAATATAGACTAGATTTGTTTAGATTTGGGTGCTTATTGCGGTTTTCTATTTTAAATTTCAGCCAAATATGTTGACATGAAATTACGTGCTGGCAACAAAGAAGCCACTGAAGAAGAACTGGAACAAATACTCGATAAAATCATGGTACTTTTCCGTTTCATACATGGAAAAGATGTTTTTGAAGCCTTCTATAAAAAGGTAAGAATTTGAAATGCCCACTAAAACTTAACAAATGGTAATGTTATATCATTTTTACCTTTTTAAGGATTTGGCCAAACGCTTATTAGTAGGAAAATCTGCTTCCGTCGATGCTGAAAAGAGTATGCTATCGAAATTGAAACAAGAATGTGGTGGCGGCTTTACCTCAAAATTGGAGGGCATGTTCAAGGATATGGAATTAAGTCGTGATATAAATATTTCATTTAAACAATATGTGGCGAATATGGATGGTGAATTAACGAGTATCGATCTGACCGTAAATATCTTGACAATGGGTTATTGGCCAACATATCCTCTAACGGAGGTTAATATGCCGCCACAGTTGGTGAAACCACAACAGGTATTCAATAAATTCTATTTGGCTAAGCACAGTGGACGTAAATTACAATGGCAACCAACATTGGGAAATTGTGTGCTGAAAGCACGTTTTGATGGGGTGAGTGAAAAGGGAAAACAGAGATATAGATTCTGATTTAATTGTTTATATTTTTTTGTTTTATTTGCAGGGACCTAAAGAATTGATGGTTTCTTTATTCCAAGCTTTGGTGTTATTGTTATTTAATGACAGAGACACTTTTTCATTTGAGGAAATTGTAGCGGCTACAAATATTGAGGTGAGTTCCTGGACTGAAATAATTGAATTTAAACTGTAGACTATAGACTCGACTATAGACTAGACTATAGACTAGACTATAGACTAGACTATAGACTAGACTATAGACTAGACTATAGACTAGACTATAGACTAGACTATAGACTCGACTATAGACTAGACAATAGACTAGACAATAGACTAGACTATAGACTAGACTATAGACTAGACTATAGACTAGACTATAGACTAGACTATAGACTAGACTATAGACTAGACTATAGACTAGACTATAGACTAGACTATAGACTAGACTATAGACTAGACTATAGACTAGACTATAGACTAGACTATAGACTAGACTATAGACTAGACTATAGACTAGACTATAGACTAGACTATAGACTAGACTATAGACTAGACTATAGACTAGACTATAGACTAGACTATAGACTAGACTATAGACTAGACAATAGACTAGACTATAGACTAGACTATAGAGTAGACTATAGACTAGACTATAGACTATAGACTAGACTATAGACTAGACTATAGACTAGACTATAGACTATAGACTACACTATAGACTACACTATAGACTACACTATAGACTAGACTATAGACTAGACTATAGACTACACTATAGACTACACTATAGACTAGACTATAGACTAGACTATAGACTAGACTATAGATTAGACTATAGACTAGACTATAGACTAGACTATAGACTAGACTATAGACTAGACTATAGACTAGACTATAGACTAGACTATAGACTAGACTATAGACTAGACTATAGACTAGACTATAGACTAGACTAGTCAAATTAAAAAAAAATCACCGCAATTTCATTCCGATTCCATATAGGACGGTGAATTGCGCCGCACATTACAATCATTGGCCTGTGGACGTGCTCGTGTTATAACTAAAGAACCTAAAGGTCGTGAGGTGGAAGATAAAGATCAGTTCCATTATAATAATGAATTTACCAACAAATTGTTCCGCATTAAAATTAATCAAATACAAATGAAAGAAACGGTAAGTGTTTTGAAAGAAAAAAAACTAAATTTAATTATAAATTTATGTTTAATATTGGTTTTTTAAAACAGACGGAAGAACAAAAAGCTACCGAAGAACGAGTGTTTCAAGATCGTCAGTATCAAATTGATGCTGCAATTGTACGAATTATGAAAATGCGTAAAACGTTATCACATAATTTATTAATTACTGAACTTTTCAATCAGTTAACATTTCCTGTCAAGGTGAGAAAGTTTATAGAAATGGAGAGTCCATCTTAAAAAAATAATAATTATTTTATTTTTTCTTTGTTTTTTTTTTTTTTTTAGCCGGCTGATCTGAAAAAACGCATTGAATCACTTATTGATCGTGACTATATGGAACGTGATAAGGATAATCAAAATCAATACAATTATGTGGCTTAATTTAACTCAAATACAATTAAATTGCGACATTTTGGTCGTTATTTCTATACCTTTTTTCATAAGTTTCTTTGGAATGTAATTGTAAACTATTAAACAAAAAAAAAAAAAAAACAAACAAACAAAAACTAAACATAAAAAATACTTATTTAAATGAATATACATATAAAAATTTATGTTCTGAAAAGCGAATTAAGCGATGATCGCTTTGTTGTTTAACTTTTTGTCTCTCTCCACTACTACTACCTACTACTATTACTATTAATCTACTCAACATTTTTTTAATACGAAATTTATTTTTTTTTTTTAATTTGCAATCCAAAGAAGATTTATAAACTTTAACCCTATTCATATAAATAAAAATTTGTTAAAAATTAGCTTAAAAAGGAAACAACAACAACACAATAAATTTAATGTGAAATTTTAAGAAAAATTTTAAATGTTTGAAAATGGGAAAAATGTTTCAAGATTTTCGTATATAAGTTTGAAATTTCGAAATTTAAAAATTGTTTTTAATTTTTTTCAAAATTTAAAAATTTTCATTTTTTGAAAAATATAAATATTATTTTTAATATTTTGATGATCGAAATTGAAAAATATAAGAAAATGACCCAAATAAAAACTAAAATCAGATTTTCTATAAATTGCTATAATTTATAGATAAATTTCAAAGCTTCAAACTATTTTCGAACATAAGCTCAAAATTTTTTAAATACTTATGATTTAGATATTAAAAGTTTTTTATTTCAAAATGAATTCAAATGTACGAATTTTTCTATATTTCTCTTTGTAATAGAATTTGAAAGAATCGGAAAATGTTAATGCTTTCAAAACAAAAGTTAAATCGTCACCCTATTCTAACAATTACAAAACTTTCCATCGTTTACAGTTCAAAACTAGCAAAGATCTCCTAATTATTTTTCTCAGTGTTAACACATGATTTTGACATCTGCTGCTAATTTGACGAAATATTTTGGCTTGGCAATGCCATACAAGAAAACAAAACAATTAAAATCAACCGCAGTGCAGAATTCGAGTTGCTGCTTTTACTTCAAACAAAAAAGTGTTTGCTACAAACACGAGATACGAAAAATACATTGATGTTTGACATCGAACATGTGTATTTTAAATGGGAAGTGCAGTTGATGTCAATTCTGCCAACTGCGAAAAGAAATTCTGCTGGAATTTTAGAGGATATAACCTGGCTAGGCTGTCCTCTTATATAGATGTTGTTTGCGCAAAATATTGGTGTTTGTTATTTTATTGCAATACTTAGATCAGGTACTAACCATTATGGACATTATGTCGACTTTAGATCCCTTAGAGTTGTCACACTATATGAATCATTTATAAAAGAAAAAAAAACTTTTATCTGAAGGTATTCCTTCCTATCACTTGATGTACTTGAATGACAAAATACCTTTAGAAGAAATGAGGAAATGTGTTTGGATTTGAATAAATATCATTTCATTTCGAATGGCCTGTTGGAACAGGTCTGCAATATACGTACTCAATTGGTTGGTTCCTTGCGATCATCACAATTTTAATAAATAGCAAAGATCATCTTAGTATGCATCACTGAACATCCAGTGAACATTCAACAATTTTTTGACTCCATAACTTTACGAAAAAATAAAAAATATGAATTGAGTACTTTTCGGATATTCGGACGTTTAAGGGATGAAAATTTTACCTATTTCTGGTACTTTTTCATAAAACCTTGTTATTGGTTTATTAACTTATATATGTATATATACATATGTACTATGTATGATGAATACATAATAACGGGATCCCACTACCATGTTTCAACTTTTTGGAATACAATTTTTATTTCGTTAATGGGGAGGAAAAAATTACCGATAGGGGGTAAAAATTTAAAATCTGATTTTATTCAAACACAATGAGTCAATTTAGATAAAATTTTTAGATTTAGAAACACTAAATATGGTAATAGGGTGATATTTGGAACCCCGATAGAAATTGATATTTTTAGTACATTTTCGTTCTCCAACTGGTAATTTTTGAGTTTTCTATGACAATTACAGTCGATTTTAGGCCGCCACCGATATTTTTAGTGCCAGCCGCCGGCGCCGTTAAAATCTATCGGCGCAGGGCTTTGGATGGCAGTCGTGAATTAAGCTGCCTTGATGGCAGACATGAAAAAATAAAAGCGTTTATTGTTTTCGCAAAGTATTTAACATAATTTTAATAGAAAACAATAAATAGATCTATATAAATTATGAAAATAAAACTCATAAATAATATTACAAATGTGTTTTAAACAATAATACAAAAATAATTAAGTGTTTAGTGTACTACTCTAAAAAAAAGAAATTTTACATTCTATTTTTCACCAAAATAAAACAAAAGCAGAAAAAAAAATATACAAAAATGCGTTTAAGTATACAGCAGCAACTAATCGGACCTTGGTTGATTGTCTTGACGCTTTTTATAATTGAATCAGCAACAGATGAGGTAATTTTAAAACGAAAGCCAAGAAAGAATAAGAGCAAAAAGCTTAAAACTAAAAACAATACACGCTAAAAGACAATGAAAATTATCATATATTTAACAAATCTGAAAAAAACAATTTCTTTTGTTTTCTTTACGGACAATTTGTTTAACAAAAAAAAAAAAAAGCTAACAACAACATATGGTTACAGCTGGTTTAATTTGTTGTACTTTATTTGTTTACCGTTTTTAATGTATTTGTTGTTGTTGTACAAATTTTGTGTTGTTATTCTGGTTGTTACTTATTAGGGTTTTTTGTTGTTTTTTTATTTATTGATTTATTTCATTTCCTAATGCCGCATCTGGTTTTAAATTACGTTTAAGAATTTATGAATGATTAATAAATAAACAACAAAAACGTCATAAGAATTTCTCTTCTTCGTTTTTTGATGATGATGATGTGGGTGTAAACTGCGTTGTGTACTACGTTGCATTACCTGCCTACGCATTTATTTTTTTTTTTTTAGTTTTAAAAACTCTCAAAATGTTAGGGATTAAGGACCTTTTAAAATAGTTATTTATAGATGCTATTGAAAAAACATATTCCGGTCATATGTTCATCAATAGACACAGTATACTTGTTAAAGTTAAACTAAATAGGCACTTGTATGCTAATTTATAGTCCGGTCAAGAGATCATAGACTGTCCAGGTTATATACAAGTCCATATAGCAGTTTACAGCTATTTAAATAGCATTCTGTATATATCATACTATAGGCAAGAATGTAGAACTGACTGTAGACCAGACTATAGATCAGATTATAGTCGAGACTGTAAATCAGACTATAATCAAGACTAGACTATAATATTGAATAGACAATAGTCAAGTCTATAAACAGGACTATAAGCAAGACTATAGTCGAGACTGTAGACCTGACTATAGACCATACTATAGAGCAGACTATAGTAAAACTATAGACCAGACAATAGTCAAACTATAGATCAGAGTATGCATATTACTATAGACGAGACTATAGACAAGAATATAGACAAGACTATAGATCAGACTATAGACCAGACTACAGTCCAGTCTATAGATCAGACTATAATCTAAACTATACTCCAGAAAATATTCCAGACTATCTATAGTGCAGACAAATTTAAAATTTTTATTAGAAAAATTATTTATGTTATTTGTACAAAATGCTTACTTTCGCTTTTTTCTTTGTTTATTAAATTGAAACTTTTCAAAAAGTCGAGGTCATCATCTTAAACTCAAAAGTGCTAACTTTCGAAAAATTTCCACTTTACAATACAACAAGTACCCTCATTCCATTGAACCCCTGCTGTTTTCTATAATTTAAAAATTTATTACACTGAATTGCACAACACCCAACCTGTTTATTTTTTTTTTATTAATTTATTACAATAACAAAATATTATCTTGAAAGTAATTAGTATTAAATTATTTCCTTGCATTATAAGATCAACTAACATTTCTTTAGAAAAATAACAAATAAACAAATTTACATCTGATTAATTTTCTTAGAAACTTAGTTTACAACGTTATTTTCCGCTTGTAACCGAAGAACAAATGCTCAACAATGATAATCGTTTTAAACAGATTATGCAGGGCAGCAGCAGTTCATCGTCAGATGCAATTTGGCCGGATAAGCATAAATTTGAAAAGGTCGATGTTAAAAAAGAAATCAATAAATTGAATATCAGTAAGATTGCAAAAACACAATTAATTGTCATATTGTTGTTATTAAAAATGTTCAATTCCAGCATATGTTTATCAATCGTCATGGCCTGAAATGAGTGTTAAATTGGGTTCTGTTACCGCTGTTAGTTTTGATAAGGCTGGCAATGTTGTAATCTTTCATCGTTGTGATCGTGTTTGGGAACAAGATACATTTTCAAGAAATAATGTTTTTACCAAACGCAATAAGGGAGCTATACGTGATAGCACTGTTTTGGCCTTGGATAGAGAAACTGGCAAATTGGTTTATGATTGGGGTAAAAATTTGTAAGTAAAAAATATACATATATTTTTTTGTTTTTTATTTGAAAGAAACAATGTTGAAGAAAAATTATTTGTATAAGAGTGTTTCTAAAGAAAATCGTTGGTTATAACTTGATTTTCTATAGAAACATAGTTAGTATAACGGTTTTTATATAGATCAATTGTTGGTATAAGAGTTTTTCCATAAAAAGTTTTTAGTATAACAGTTTTTCTTTAGAAAAGATTTTATTTGTAGAATTTTGTTGGTATAACAGTTAGCTATTGAAAATTTGTTATTATAACAGTTTTTCTATAGAAAAAATTGTCAGTATGACAGATTTTTCATGGAAAAATTGTTTATATAACAGTTTTTCCATAGAAAAATTGGAGGTATAACAGTTTTTCTATAAAAAAAATGGTAGTATAACAGTTTTTCTATAGAAAATTTTTTGGTATAATAGTATTTCTATAGAAAAATTTTTGGTATAACAGTGTTTCTGTAGAAAATTTTTTGGTATTAAAGTGTTTCTATAGGAAAATTTTTAGTATAACAGTTTTTCTATAGAAATTTTGTTGGTATTACAGTTTTTCTATAGAAACATTGTTGGTATTACAGTTTTTCTACAGAAAATTTTTTGATGTAACAGTTTTTCTATAAAAAAAATTTTGGTATAAAAGTTTTTTTTTATAGAAAAATTGTTGTTGATCAAGATTTTATTTGTAGAATTTTATTGGTATAACAGTTAGCTATTGAAAATTTGTTATTATAACAGTTTTTCTATAGAAAAAAATTGTCAGTATGACAGATTTTTCATGGAAAAATTGTTGATATAACAGTTTTTCCATAGAAAAATTGGAGGTAGGTATAACAGTTTTTCTATAAAAAAATGGAGGTATAACAGTTTTTCTATAGAAAAATTGGAGGTATAACAATTTTTCTATAGAAAAATTGGTAGTATAACAGTTTTTCTATAGAAAAATTTTTGGTATAACAGTGTTTCTGTAGAAAATTTTTTGGTATAACAGTGTTTCTATAGAAAAAATTTTGGTATAACAGTTTTTCTATAGAAACATTTTTGGGTTTACAGTTTTTCTACAGAAAATTTTTTGATGTAACAGTTTTTCTATAAAAAAAATTTTGGTATAAAAGTTTTTCTATAGAAAAATTTTTTGTATAACAGTTTTTCTATAGAAAAATTTTTGGTATAACATTTTTTCAATAGAAAAATTGTTGGTATAACAGTTTTTCAATATTTTTGTTGGTATAATAGTTTTTGTATATAAAAAAATTTGGTAAATAGTTTTTCTATAGAAAAATTGTTCGTATAATAGTTTTTCTATAGAAACTTTGGGTATAACAGTTTGTTTTGGTGGTATAACAGTTTTTCTATAGAAAAATTGCTGGTACCACATTTTTCTACAGATAAATTGTTGGTATAACAGTTTTCATATAGAAAAATTTGTTATATAACTGATTTTTTATAGAAAATTTTTACTTTTCTATACAAAAGTAGAAGAAAAATTTTTATTCAAAACTTTTTATATAGAACAATTTTTAAATGAAATCTTTTTATAGAAAAACTTTCCATATAAAATATTTTTAACAAAATCTTTTTCTAAAGAAAAGCTTTCATACGAAAGCTTTGTCTAAGGAAAAACTTTCATGCGAAAGTTTTTTCTAAAAAAACTTTGATTTGAAAGCTTTTTTTAAAAAATCTTTCAGACGAAAGCTCTTTTTAAAAAACCTTTCACTCGAAAGCTTTTGCCTAAGAAAACCTTTCATTCGAAAGCTTTTTCCTAAAAAAAAACTTTCTGACGAAAGCTTTTTCTAAAAAAACTTTTAAACTTAAGCCCTTCTATAGAAAAACTTTTAATCGAAAGCTCTCTTCTATAGAAAAACCCTTTTAAACATTTGTTGTCTACTTTTCCCTTTGTAGGTTCTATATGCCTCATGGCCTAACAATCGATCACGAGGATAATGTTTGGATAACTGATGTAGCTCTACATCAAGTCTTCAAATTTGGTCCCCGAGGCTCCAACGATAAACCACTTATGACTTTGGGTACAGCATTCACACCCGGTGCTGGTGAAACAAAATTCTGTAAACCAACATCAGTGGCAGTTTTAGAAAATGGAGACTTCTTTGTAGCGGATGGTTATTGTAATGCACGAATACTAAAATATACTAAACAAGGAGAGAAAATCTTACACTGGGGACAAAATACATTTTCTGGTGTTTCCTTTGGTGTGGCACCACAAAATTTCTTTGCCATACCGCATGCTTTAACACTGGTGCCCGAACAGGAATTAATTTGTGCAGCAGATCGGGAAAATGGACGAGTTCAGTGTTTCTATTGGTCCAATGGTACATTCCACTCGCAATATCATTCACAGATTATAGGAGATCGTTTGTTTAGTATGGATTATACCCCAGCACACGGTGAGTTAGAGGAAGTCTGTAATTTTATATTAGTTACTGAGCTAATTTGTTTCTTTAGGTGGTCAATTTGTTATAGTAAATGGACCCACTGCTGAATTGGGTTTAAAAACTGAACAATACAATGAGGTGCGTGGTTATGTGATGGAATTTACTACCAAGAAAGTAACAGGCAAATTTGGACCAAACGATATGGAATTTTCTAATCCTCATGATGTGGCTGTCTCAAAAGATGGCAATGAGGTATATGTAGCCGAACTAAATCCCATGCGTATACATAAGTTTTTGCACAAATCTATGGTCAAATCTATACCCCTATCGGCTGCCAAACCTACCGCCAATGTTGAAATAGAAATTAGTAAGGAAAAATCCTCTAATCTACCAGCAACAGCACAAAAAGCTCATATTTTAAGTGTGACTGACTCTGCATCTGATCCCTCGGTGGTATTGGAAATTTCTAGTGAATCTCATCATAGACCCGGTGCAACAGCGATTTTGGTGGCTTCTCTAATGTTACTATTTGCATTTCTAACATTCGGTTTAGCTTTGCTAATAGCCCGACGACGTAAACGAGGTAATGCTGCCGGTTTGACGGTAGGCCAACCTAGTGAGCTGGTCTATCGTAAATTGGTAGCCTCAAGTCAAACTATTTGTGATGAATGTCCTTAATTTATTTACAAAAACAAACATCTTTTTATATGTTTTCTTTTTATTCATTAATTTTATACATTTGTTTTGTGATTATTGTGTTCTTAAGACAGCTATATTTATAATTTTTGTTTAAATTATTTAAGTTTTTTAAATTCTTTAAAAATTTTCCAAATTATTTTCTTTTTAAACCGGTAGCAGAACCCTAGATCTCTCACATTTTTTTGAAAATAATCACACTCACTTTGAAAATTCTAAGCAATCATCAGAAATTTGTTTAATAACAATAACAAAAATAGTTTGATTCATACTTTCATCTCTCACCCATTCCGTAATGTTGACTTCAAATCAGTTTCAACATCAATACCTAACATTTCCTTTTTCTAATTTAGTTTTTTTCTCTATAGTTTTAAAAAATATCACTTCCATTAGTTTTATTTCCTTTAAAACAGTTCATATATGTTTCCCAAAGTGTTTCATTTTTCTCTCCCATAGTTGTCCCATTTCTGACGTTTTTCTATTAAAAAAAATGTTTTAAGGAATAATGAGATGATAATGAAATGAAAACTAAAAACAAAACAGCGAAAAAACACATAAAAAACAAAACAAACAATAAACAAATAATTTGAAAATATATCATAATAAATTTATTTTTTCATTTTTAAAAATAAAAATAATGAGATTACATTAAATTAATTACAATAATAATTGTATACATATAGAAATAAAAAAGGAGCATTAGAAAAAAAATACATAAATATACAGTATTTTGTATAAATTGGAGGGGTTTTTATAATTTAATCAGTACACAAACTAAAACATAAAGTTTGACTATGGATTTAAACAAATATAACATAAAACACTAGTATGTTATATTTGTTTAAATCCATAGTCAAACTTTATGTTTTAGTTTGTGTACTGATTAAATTATAAAAACCCCTCCAATTTATACAAAATACTGTATATTTATGTATTTTTTTTCTAATGCTCCTTTTTTATTTCTATATGTATACAATTATTATTGTAATTAATTTAATGTAATCTCATTATTTTTATTTTTAAAAATGAAAAAATAAATTTATTATGATATATTTTCAAATTATTTGTTTATTGTTTGTTTTGTTTTTTATGTGTTTTTTCGCTGTTTTGTTTTTAGTTTTCATTTCATTATCATCTCATTATTCCTTAAAACATTTTTTTTAATAGAAAAACGTCAGTACAGATTCTGTATTAAAGAAATATTTCGCATTCCTTAATCATGATTAAAATAAAGAAGTAAAAGAGCAATGTATGGGACAAGATTGCATACATTACCTCATACATGATTCGACTGCAGACTATAGACTAGACTATAGACTAGACTATAGACTAGACTATAGACTAGACTATAGACTAGACTATAGACTAGACTATAGACTAGACTATAGACTAGACTATAGACTAGACTATAGACTAGACTATAGACTAGACTATAGACTAGACTATAGACTAGAGTATAGACTAGACTATAGACTAAACTATAGACTAGACTATAGACTAGACTATAGACTAGACTATAGACTAGACTATAGACTAGACTATGGACTAGACTATAGACTAGACTATAGACTAGACTATGGACTAGACTATAGACTAGACTATAGACTAAACTATAGACTAGACTATAGACTAGACTATAGACTAGACTATAGACTAGACTATAGACTAGACTATAGACTAGACTATAGACTAGACTATAGACTAGACTATAGACTAGACTATAGACCAGACTATAGACTAGACTATAGACTAGACTATAGACTAGACTATAGACTATAGACTAAACTATAGACTAAACTATAGACTAGACTATAGACTAGACTATAGACTAGACTATAGACTAGACTATAGGCTAGACTAGACTATAGACTAGACTATAGACTAGACTATAGACTAGACTATAGACTAGACTATAGACTAGACTATAGACTAGACTATAGACTAGACTATAGACTAGACTATAGACTAGACTATAGACTAGACTATAGACTAGACTATAGACTAGACTATAGACTAGACTATAGACTAGACTATAGACTAGACTATAGACTAGACTATAGACTAGACTATAGACTAGACTATAGACTAGACTATAGACTAGACTATAGACTAGACTATAGACTAGACTATAGACTAGACGATAGACTAGACTATAGACTAGACTATAGACTAGACTATAGACCTAGACTATAGACTAGCCTATAGACTAACTATAGACTAGGACTATAGACTGTAGATCTATAGACTAGACTATAGCCTAGACTAATGACCTAGACTATAGACTAGACTATAGACCTAGACTATAGACTAGACTATAGACTAGACTATAGACTAGACTATAGACTAGACTATAGACTAGACTATAGACTAGACTATAGACTAGACTTAGACTGATTAGACTATAGACTAGACTATAGACTAGACTATAGACTAGACTATAGACTAGGACTATAGACTAGACTATAGACTAGACTATAGACTAGACTATAGACTAGACTATAGACTAGACTATAGACTAGACTATAGACTAGACTATAGACTAGACCTATCGACTAGACTAGACTATAGACTAGACTATAGACTAGACTATAGACTAGACTATAGACTAGACTATAGACTAGACTATAGACTAGACTATAGACTAGACTATAGACTAGACATAGACTAGACTATAGACTAGACTATAGACTAGACTATAGACTAGAGCTAACTAAGACCTAGACTATAGACTAGACTAATGACTAGACTATAGACTAGACTATAGACTAGACTATAGACTAGACTATAGACTAGACTATAGACCTAGACTAAAGACTAGACTAATAGCACTAGACCTATAGACCTAGACTAATAGTACTAGACTATAGACTAGACTTATAGACTAGACTATAGACTAGACTATAGACTAGACTATAGACTAGACTATAGACTAGACTATAGTACTAGACTATAGGACTAGACTAATAGACTAGACTATAGACTAAGCTATAGACTAGACTATAGACTAGACTAATAGACTAGACATATAGACTAGACTATAGACTAGACTATAGACTAGACTATAGACTAGAACTAGAGACTAGACTATAGACTGAGACTATAGACGAGACTATAGACTAGACTAGACTATAGACTAGACTATAGACTAGACTATAGACTAGACTATAGACTAGACTATAGACTAGACTATAGACTAGACTATAGACTAGACTATAGACTAGACTATAGACTAGACTATAGACTAGACTATAGACTAGACTATAGACTAGACTATAGACTAGACTATAGACTAGACTATAGACTAGACTATAGACTAGACTATAGACTAGACTATAGACTAGACTATAGACTAGACTATAGACTAGACTATAGACTAGACTATAGACTAGACTATAGACTAGACTATAGACTAGACTATAGACTAGACTATAGACTAGACTATAGACTAGACTATAGACTAGACTATAGACTAGACTATAGACTAGACTATAGACTAGACTATAGACTAGACTATAGACTAGACTATAGACTAGACTATAGACTAGAGTATAGACTAGACTATAGACTAGACTATAGACTAGACTATAGACTAGACTATAGACTAGACTATAGACTAGACTATAGACTAGACTATGGACTAGATTATAGACTAGATTATAGACTAGATTATAGACTAGATTATAGACTAGACTATAGACTAGACTATAGCCTTGACTATAAACTAGACTATAGACTAGACAATAGACTAGACTACAGACTAGACAATAGACTAGACAATAGACTAGACAATAGACTAGACAATAGACTCGACAATAGACTCGACTACAGACTAGACTATAGACTAGACTATATATTAGACTATAGACTAGACTATAGACTAGACTATAGACTAGACTAGACTATAGACTAGACTATAGACTAGACTATAGACTAGACTATAGACTAGACTATAGACTAGACTATAGACTAGACTATAGACTAGACTATAGACTAGACTATAGACTAGACTATAGACTAGACTATAGACTAGACTATAGACTAGACTATAGACTAGACTATAGACTAGACTATAGACTAGACTATAGACTAGACTATAGACTAGACTATAGACTAGACTATAGACTAGACTATAGACTAGACTATAGACTATAAACTAGACTACAGACTAGAAATTTACAAAATTTCCTATCTGCCGATATACATCTCTATTTATCATTTCCCCTTTAGTATAATTTGATAAAAAAACATTAACTTTATAACTTTCAATATATTTTAAAGGTTGCATGCCATTTGGTTCGAATAATCGACGTCATGCCTGGGATTTTCCCTCAAAACCAGATGGCTTTAAACTGGGTGGTCTTCTACTAGAGCGCAATAAACGCAGTGGTTTTGAAAAACTTGATCAAAACGCTAGTGATGAGGAAACGGAAACGGCTACTAATAATACTTTAACAAGTGCACAATTTGCTTAGTTTTTTTGGTTTATTCAAAAAAAAAGTCATAAAACATCATATTTATATCTAAAAACAATAACTAATTAAAATCAAATGAACCTCTAACTCGCTCCAATTTATTGAAAGAAAAAGGAATTTATTTTTTGAAACGTTTTCTTAATAATTTTTATTTTATTGAGCTAAAAATTAAGTTCGGTTAATATAATTTTAAAAATTTATTTTCTCTAGGTGTTTTGTAATGCATAATAATATAATAATTTGTAATTAACAATGTAAACGAAAATTCAATTATTTATTATTGTACTGTGTAGAATTTAAGACTTATTGTATGTATATTTTAGTGAAGCAAAATAATTTATATAAGTACGATTCTTGTAGTAGTAAATTATATATTGAAATTATCTGGTTAAGGACCAAGAAAAAAAAAACAGAATGGAATACTTTTAGAACATTTTTTAAATATTTTGATTTCTGAGAGAACAAATAATTATTAATGATTTTCTTCCTTATTGATAAAGTTGGATTAAGATAGACTTTTAAATTTCCATATTAAGTTCAGTGACAGGTTTTACACATTCATGATCTAACTGCTAAGAAAAGCTGAGACCAAATTACCCTCTTCTACATTAATCGCAATCTCAATTTCGGCTAAACTGCCGCATTTGTTAACGAATCTCTTATGCTTCGTAGTTTTGAATCTCTGGATCAATATAGAATAAAAGAATTAATGAATTTTACTTTTATCACAATCGACATACGATTTTATGAAATTTATCCTAATTGAGTTTGAGGAATATGGTTGAAAACCAAATCTAAACACCTATTCCATATTTAATTTTCTCTTAAAAATCAAAATACTTTTGCCATTCCAATTGCTTGTATCCTATCAAATTTTCCATTTTAAAAGACGACTTTGTTTTAATTAAATGTTTTAATTGTATTTACCGCTAAAGTACTGAAGGAATTCTAATACTAACTAAATCTTGTTTTGAGTACCCATTAAACAATTTTTGCCGATTTTAGTCAGAGAGCCGAAACAAGTAGCATTTTTTAACATTCGAAGTCACCGAAGCTTTTTTATAGACTACACTCAGGCTATAGACTAGATTATAGACTAGAAGACTACAGACTAGACTATTGACTTGACTACTGACTGGGTTATAGACTATACTACAGACTAGAATAGAGGCAGACTAGAGACTAGACTAGAGACTATACTAGAGACTCGACTCTAGACTAGACTATAGACTAGACTATAGACTAGACTATAGACTAGACTATAGACTAGACTATAGACTAGACTATAGACAAGACTATAGACTAGACTATAGACTAGACTATAGACTAGTCTAGTCGATAGTCTAGTCTATAGTCTAGTCTATAGTCTAGACTAGACTATACTACATACTAAAACAGAGACAGACTAGGGACTAGACTAGAGACTATACGAGAGACTCGACTCTAGACTAAACTATAGACTAGACTATAGACTAGACTATAGACTAGACTATAGATTAGACTAAAGACTAGACTATAGACAAGACTATAGACTAGACTATAGACTAGTCTAGTCGATAGTCTAGTCTATAGTCTAGACTAGACTATACTACATACTAGAACAGAGACAGACTAGGGACTAGACTAGAGACTATACGAGAGACTCGACTCTAGACTAAACTATAGACTAGACTATAGACTAGACTATAGACTAGACTAAAGACTAGACTATAGACTAGACTATAGACTAGACTATAGACTAGACTATAGACTAGACTATAGACTAGACTATAGACTAGACTATAGACTAGTCTAGTCGATAGTCTAGTCGATAGTCTAGTCGATAGTCTAGTCTATAGTCTAGTCTATAGTCTAGTCTATAGTCTAGACTAGACTATACTACATACTAGAACAGAGACAGACTAGGGACTAGACTAGAGACTATGCGAGAGACTCGACTCTAGACTAGACTATAGACTAGTCTATAGACTAGACTATAGACTAGACTATAGACAAGACTATAGACTAGACTATAGACTAGACTATAGACTAGACTATAGACTAGACTATAGACTAGACTATAGACTAGACTATAGACTAGACTATAGACTAGACTATAGACTAGACTATAGACTAGACTATAGACTAGACTATAGACTAGACTATAGACTAGACTATAGACTAGACTATAGACTAGACTAGACTATAGACTAGACTATAGACTAGACTATACTATACTATAGACTAGACTATAGACTAACTGTAGACTAGACTATAGACTAGACTATAGACTAGACTATATACTAGACTATAGACTAGACTATAGACGAGACTATAGACTAGACTATAGACTAGACTATAGACTAGACTATAGACGAGACTATAGACTAGACTATAAACTAGACTATTGACTAAACTATAGACTAGACTATAGACTAGACTATAGACTATATAGGATATAGGCTATACTATAGACTAGACTATAGACTATATAGGATATAGGCTATACTATAGACTAGACTATAGACTAAACTAAAGATTTGACTGTAGACAAATTATAGACTAGACTATACGAGGGATAATAGATAGAGATTAGACCAGACTTGAGACTAAATTTAGATATTAACTAGCCTTTAGACTATGAACAAGTCTATAGGCTAGAATATGAGCTATAAATTAGATTAAACTGTTGACTGGACAATAGACTGACCTCTTGACTAGACTATAGACTGGAATATAACCTCGCTTATAGACTACATACTAGTCTTCATACTAGAATTAGAAATATGTATGTATATTAGACTATGGACAAGTCTATAGACTAGACCATTGAATATACTGTAGACTAGAGTGGAGACTATATATTGGACTATACACAAATCTATATATTACACTTACTATATATAAGATTGGACAAAAATGTTTATTGGGTATTCTTTAAACTAAATCATATTTAATTAAAAAACCACAATCCAAAAAAATAAAAAGAGAAAAATATTCCAAATCTGTATATATTTTTTTAAGAATATTAAAATACTGTTTTTATTTTTAAAACTTTTTTATGTAAAATATATTTTTTTTAAACCTAAAGCCAAAAATGTATGTAAATTACTAAAAATACAAATAAACTGCAAACAATTTTACAAACCTTATTATAAAATACATATTGAAATATAAATCATATAAAAATCATACCAAAATTGTGTTTACTAATTTATTATTATTTATAAAAAGCTTAGTATAAAATTAAAAAAAACAACATTAACATTTACTACCTCCGCATAAAGTTGTTATGTCTATGGAAGAAGGAAGGTAAAATGTTAACAAACAAAATCTAATTAAATAAAATTATTTACATAAAACTGATAATCACTTAAAACAAATATTTGGTTTAATAAATATTTACAATTTACAGATTTGCTTTCATAAATGGTTTCAAGTATTTATGGAATGATGCGTTAACCGGTTCCTTATTTAATGGACTCTTTTTGGCGGCCTCAAACATTCTCTCATACACATTACCATCCCAGGCACCTAAAGCTGAGTCAAGAATACGATCATCTATATCGAAAGCATCTACTAGTGCCACAGCATTGGGACGCAAACGTTTAAGGCAGTTTTGTAAACGTAATTCCAATTGTCCCACTTCTTTGTCCGTAAAACTAATGAACTGTTTTGTATTAATGAAAAGAAAATTTGTATTTGAATAGTAGTTTTGGAAAAAATTATGAACGATTTTAATAACATACCCTTAAGAAGTCGCCAATACGATTCAGACAAGCATCCACTAAATACAATTCCAAAATAGTTTTCAACACCTCACCCAAAGCTGGTGATACTTGTTTGGATAGATTTTGCAATTCAAATAAAGCAGATGAGGCTAAGAAGGAGCGACCGTGAAGCTAAAAATATAAATTTTTTAGAATATAGACTATAAACTAGACTACAGATTAGATTATAGACTAGACTATAAACTAGACTATAGACTAGATTATAAACTAGAATATAGACTAAACTATAGACTAGACTGTAGACTAGACTAGATTATAGACTAGACTATAGACTAAACTATAGACTAGACTATAGACTAGACTATAGACTTGACTATAGACTAGACTATAGACTAGACTATAGACTTGACTATAGACTAGACTATAGACTAGACTATAGACTTGACTATAGACATAGACTAGACTATAGACTAGACTATAGACTAGACTATAGACTAGACTATAGACTAGACTATAGACTAGACTATAGACTAGACTATAGACTAGACTATAGACTAGACTATAGACTAGACTATAGACTAGACTAGACTATAGACTAGACTATAGACTAGACTAGACTAGACTATAGACTAGACTATAGACTAGACTATAGACTAGACTATAGACTAGACTATAGACTAGACTATAGACTAGACTATAGACTAGACTATAGACTAGACTATAGACTAGACTATAGACTAGACTATAGACTAGACTATAGACTAGACTATAGACTAGACTATAGACTAGACTATAGACTAGACTATAGACTAGACTATAGACTAGACTATAGACTAGACTATAGACTAGACTATAGACTAGACTATAGATACTAGACTATAGACTAGACTATAGACTAGACTATAGACTAGACTATAGACTAGACTATAGACTAGACTATAGACTAGACTATAGACTAGACTATAGACTAGACTATAGACTAGACTATAGACTAGACTATAGACTAGACTATAGACTAGACTATAGACTAGACTATAGACTAGACTATAGACTAGACTATAGACTAGACTATAGACTAGACTATAGACTAGACTATAGACTAGACTATAGACTAGACTATAGACTAGACTATAGACTAGACTATAGACTAGACTATAGACTAGACTATAGACTAGACTATAGACTAGACTATAGACTAGACTATAGACTAGACTATAGACTAGACTATAGACTAGACTATAGACTAGACTATAGACTAGACTATAGACTAGACTATAGACTAGACTATAGACTAGACTATAGACTAGACTATAGACTAGACTATAGACTAGATATAGACTAGACTATAGACTAGACTATAGACTAGACTATAGACTAGACTATAGACTAGACTATAGACTAGACTATAGACTAGACTATAGACTAGATTATAGACTAGACTAGACTATATACTATGTTATAGACTAGACTATAGACTGGACTATAGACTAGACTATAGACTAGACAAATACTATACTATAGACTAGACTATATACTAAATTTAATTCTCAATTTAAATTGTTTACTTACATCAGCAGCTTGAGTCATTTCAATACCACATAAATTGGCAGCTACTTCAGGACCATGACCCTGTCTGCGACGTTCCTCCAAGCGTTCATAAGCTATGCGAATTTTGCTAAAATATTACAAAAGTAAAACCCTATTCAACAAAATAATTTCAACGCAAACTCACTTGGCTGCCACAAACTGGAAGGCCTTAACAATTGCTTCCAAAGAACCATCAAAATTTATGAATTCTTTCTGCTTAATAGCCTCTTCAATATACGACACAGTTGGCACCAGTTTAGCACCCTCTAAAGCTTGACCATAAACTTTTACCAAGTAACGGGCAGTCTGCAACAACATAACAGTATTTTCACCCTCATAAGTGCACACCGCCGTAGCCATGCCATAAAGGGTGGGGAAATTGGAACAATCCATAAAACCATGACCACCACAAGAAAGGCGACTTGTTTCAATACCAGCCGCTGTATCAGTACTACAAATGGCCTTGAGGCAACAGGATAAGGCATGCATTTCTGGCAAACGTTCCAGTTCACCCTTTTCAATTTCATGCGATATTTGATTGTACATATTCCAAATATTGTCACCGTTAGTCTTAAATACTATAGCTTTAGCGATTTGGGGAAACACTTTAAGTTGTTGTGTCGTATGATCCATAATCTGAGGTTCGGGTTGATTGGGATCGATGGGACTTTGACGTCGTATGGCCGAATAGCGACAAGCAATGGTAGAGGCCTTAGCTAAAGCCAAGGCAGCATCACGTATAAGAGCAACACGCACAAACATCATAGTACCATAAGTTAGTACAGAGTTTTTGGGCGGTACATATGTGCCATCGGGTAAAACTTTCTGATTTTTCATTAACATATTGTTGAGAGGAATGCGTACATTTTTGAAACCCAAATAGCCATTATTAACCGATTTCATGCTCAATTTAGTGCCAATTTCTCCAATGTCTATACCGGGCATAGGCATGTGTGTCTCCTCATCACGCACCTGCACAATAAATGGAGCTAAACCACGGAACTCACCCTGTGTATGAAGTTGGGCCACAACCACAGCATGATTGGCTGTATGACCCACTGAACATCGTAAAAAACCAAATAGTACGATCAGTGATCACATATATATATGAATCTTATTTTAAATATAAACTTACATCCTCCTGGCCACCATTTATATGAAGTTATCGTGGGTGAATTCAAAACAAATTCCTGTGTAGTGGCATCATAATCCGCTCGCGTTTCCAAGCCACGCAAAAAAGTACCATGACCCAATTCCGTTTGAGCATATGTACCAATTATAGAACAATCCCAAGCTTTACTTAACCATTCGACCTGTTGTTCTATAGTGCCTTGACCCATGATTGTAGGTACAAACATGACAAAATGTAAACTCATGGGATTGCCTTCTTTTAGTAAAGCTGTGCCCAAGGAACCTCCCAACAGGGCACTAAATTGTGATGTGAGTTAAATAAGTTG